TTGAGGTCCATCCCTTGACAGTGGCCTATGGGACCTTCCCATGAAACCGGAGCTTCCGTCGTTCCCGAGCTGATGCCCCAGCAAACCCTTTTTGCTCTCCCCAGTGGTATGACCTGGATTCGCTGGAGCAATTCCCCTTCCCCTTGGGTTACGACAAAAACATCAACTCGTTCCAGAAGTTGCTTATTCTGCGCTGTTTCCGTGTGGACCGGGTCTACCGGGCGGTGACCGACTATGTGACTGTCACCATGGGAGAGAAGTGAGTTGTTTGCGTTTGTCTGGCCCTCTCTCTGAGGGGACCCTCGCTATCCTGAGACAGCTGTCCCAGCCCTGCCTGGTCTGGCAGCCCCTCGGGAGCACCACCACCCAAGGGAGAAGCAGCACCAGCCACCTGTGTCATTTTGTAGGTGAGGTTCAGGCAGTAGGTGACACTGTTACTCCAGCAGGTAGTCAGGGTACACACCACCAATAAGAGCTTCTCCTCTGGTCTCATAGAAAGTCTGATTGGGTTCACACAGGCAGCTGGGCCAGCCTGGACACGCCACATACCAGGTGCCCAGTGGCCACACGTGCCTGTGGTGGCCAGGCTGGGAAGTGCAGTCCAGTGTTGATCACAAAGCCAGACAGGAGCCTGAGGCTGCAGGCTCTGTTATCCTCCATGGTGGACAGCAGGCTGAGGGTTCAGACTGGCACAAGCTAAGTCCTGATCCAGGGGGTGACTGTTCTCCGCTCCTGCTGACCGACAGTGCCAGGTGCCAGAGTGTGGACCCAGAGGACCCAGATCCCCTGACTCTCCGAACCCCAAACCCACCACCACCCAAAAGATACCAACTCACATGGGCCCCAGAAGACAGAGTCGAACTGCTTCCTAGGACTTCTAAGGCTGGTGGGTTTGAACTGCCAACCTTGTAGCTAGTGTTCCATCACTTAACCTCATGGAGATTTCACCAGAAATTGTCCACCTCTCCTGCAATCATGTAAACATTAAAAAAAATTATTTTAAAAGCCCATTTTTCACTAAACAGAAATATTATTAAATTGACTTAAATTCTGAAGACATGGGCCACTCAGGACCATTCTGCCAGGCCCTGTCAGTGTGGAGCCTAGGGACAGTGGCCACCTGGAAGGCCAGAGAGTGTTGGCTCACGATCCATCTACTGACCCCAACACGCACGTCGTGGGCTGGGCTCTAGGGCCGCAGGCTGCCTGGACTTGCAGAGCTAGCAAAGGGAGACAGCCAGGCAGGACAGCTGCTTCTGTCAGCAGGAGGAGGCTGCTGGTCCGTGGGTTGGGTGGCCCCACCCCCAAGTCTGCATCCTCCCCCAGGTACGTGCAGCCCCCCATGATCAGCTTCGAGAGCATTTTTGAGCAGAGCACCCCCAACTCGCCCATCGTGTTCATCCTGAGCCCTGGCTCCGATCCTGCCAGCGACCTGATGAAGCTGGCCGAGCGGACTGGTTTCGGAGGGAACCGCCTCAAATTCCTGGCCATGGGTCAAGGTCAGGAGAAGGTGAGTTCCGGGCTTCTGCTGCCAGGTGCCGTCTCCCCCTGCCCGAGCAGAGCCCTCAGGTACCTTCTACGGCATGTCAGAGACTGACCTTTTCTTGATGTGATCAGCTCACCTTGGCTTGGAGCGCCAGCCGAGGACCCAGGATGCCCACTCCCAGCATTTAGCGTGCCCGCGCAGTGCTGCTCACCACCCCTCCCGGGAGTCTGCTGCCAGGGGGCGTGGTATCCTTTGCCCTGTCTCAACCAAGTAGATTCCAATTCATAGTGGCCCGCTGGGACACACTAGACCTGAGACGTGACTCTTGACGGGAGCAGGCAGCTCGGCTTGGAAACCCCAGAGCGGGCGGGGCGGGTCCAAACTGCTGACCTTGTCGTTTGCAGCCCAACATGCAGCCCCTCAGATCAACAGTGTCTGTTGACTAAGGCATCTTTAAGGGAACCCTGCCCGGCAAGGTGGCATGCCATGGATTGACAGAAATGTAGCAGCCAGAGACTGCCCGGAAGCCAGGCCCATGTCCCCTGGTGCAGGGGTCTCATGCTAGTGACTGGATGCCTCCCACCTGCTGCGAATCACAAGGGTGGACTGCACACAGGAGGGGGGGGTGGCACTGTGACCCTTCTCCTCACTTGGGGTCTCAAGAGATCCTGAGCTGGCCACGGCTGACCTGCATCCTGAGTGTTTTAGCTGGCCTCTTGTGGTGCTGCCTCACTGTGTGTGTGCGCACGCACACGCGTGTATGTGTGTGTGTATGAAGTTCTGCCTGTATTGGAGAAGTTGGGGTAGGGAGTGTGGCTCTTGGGGCTCAGAGAAGCAGAGGGAGGCCATCTGCTCACTTGTCTTCCGACTGTGACTAGCCCAGGGGAGGCTGGGGCCCTGAAAGGCTCCTAATGGCCATGTCCTCAGGCCCCATCGTTCCTGGAGGACCCGGTGGGTGGCCCTCCTGCCGGGTGCCTCCAAGCAGGCCTCCAGGAGGAGCGCGGTTGGCGTGGCCTGTGATGCCAGCTCTTCTGCTCTCCCTGGGCATTGCTGCAGGTGGCGCTGCAGCTGCTAGAGACGGCTGTGGCCCGAGGGCAGTGGCTGATGCTGCAGAACTGTCACCTCTTAGTCAAGTGGCTCAAGGACCTGGAGAAGGCGCTGGAGAAGGTCACCAAGCCCCACCCGGACTTCCGCCTGTGGCTGACCACCGACCCCACCAAGGGCTTCCCCATCGGGATCCTGCAGAAGTCTTTAAAGGTCAGGTGGATGGACACCACACGCCCCTGGCCTGCTCCCATGCATCTGTGTGCATGCCCTTGCGTGCACAGTGGGACACTCCAGGGTTCAGCTGAAACCTCAGGCTGTTCCCCGAGACTGCCGTCACACATGAGCACAGGTCACCCTCACACAGTTCAGGACATCACAAGTCTGAAATCAAGGGATGAGTCCCAGTAGAGGTGCTGAGGGTGAACTGACCCCCTGCCTCCCTCCTGGCCCCTGCTGATGGCCAGCCGCCCGTGGCCTTCCTCGATCGGTGGCTGCATATTGCATGTGGTCCTCTTCTCTCTGTGGGTCTGATAGTGGGTCCCACATGTGCTTGTCTGATGGGGTTCAGGGCCCACCCCAATCCGGTACCAGCTTATTAGCCCCATTCTACCTGCAAAGTCTCTCTGTCTGCTGAAGACCATGCTCACAGCTTCTGGGTGGACATGGATTTAGGTGGGGCACTGCTGGATCTGGTCCAGTCGGCCTTCCCATCCCCAGGCTCCTAGTGTCTGGTGGTTTCCACCTACCAGCCTCGCAGTTAGCCACCCGACACAATACACGATGCCACCAGGGCTCCTGGGATGAAAAACAGAGGCTGTGGAGTCTCACCCCACTGCCTTCCGGAGCACAACCCCCTGTGAGCTGGGGTTGCTTGTGGTTTTTTTTTAATCGTTTTATTAGGGGCTCATACAACTCTTATCCTATTCCATACACACATCAATTGTGTAAAGCACATTTGTACATTCATTGC